CATGGGTTTGATTACAAAAACTAATAAAACATACTCTAAATTAAAAAAAAGAAGCTCATGTCACCTGAGCAGTGAGAATAGACTTTCATCTGGAGACCACCTCATCCCAGGAGCTTCCTGATGGCTGTGCTGTGGGTTGGGAGGGGGTTTCCAGCCCTCAGACATCCCAACTGATGTTGGAAGATTGGGGAACTCTTGGCTTGGAAACTCAAGGTCTATGTGTGTGGCTGTAAAAGTATGGTGAAGGTGTGAGTGGGTCTCTCTCAGTGAGAAATGACAGGAAGCAAACAATACTTCCCCAACACCCACTTTGCTTCAGACACTTACATTTTGAACTCTCTCTATGATCCTGTGAGATGGCATGATGGCTAGCATTGTCAATGTCACAGAAACAAAGTGCCTAGCAGAAATGTCCCTGGGAGGATTGTGAGGGATAGGTTAGGGTAAGTGAGGTGGGAAGGCCCACCCTAATTATAGGTGGCACCATGCCAAGGGCTGGAGTCCTGGACAAATATAAAGAAAGAGTGAGCTGAGAAACAGCATTAATCTCTTTTTGTTTCACAATTAAACACAATGGGACAGCTGTCTCAGTCTCTTGTAGGTATTGAATTTCAGCCATAAATGACTAAATTATCAATCAGTGGAAAATAACCCCTTTATATTTTAAATTGGTTTTGTCACACTAATATGATAATTAACTGATATCCTTGGCTTAATAAATTTTAATGAGATACATCATGCAGTTCAGGTTGTTCTTGATCTCAGGCTCCTACAGTGTAATGTTTGATAGGTAGACTGGGCACTGAAGGGAGCGAGAAGACCCATGAGGATGTAGGGTTTTCACAGAGCAGCAAGGGTTGAATGAGGAAGAACTAATTTCCCAGGCTCCCATGGAACTAGATTCCAGTCCTGCTTCTGTCTCTAGTGTTGTGAGCTAGGAGAAGTTAACTCCTTTCCTTAGACCCTGTGCAATGGAGAGAGGTCACTACTTTGATGCCTGAGAGGAGGAAGAGTCAGGGTGTGGTCTGTGTATGCTGAGCAAGGAAGTCAGCAGGAGAAACTGTATGAAGCTGAGGCAGGAGCCTACCCTTTACTCAGGAACCATCTGAAGAGAAGAGACCTTTTTGGAACTTCAGGGACCACATGAACCCTGGGATTTTAAACCACATTAATATTATGAGCTGAACTCTGGTGTCAGTTGGGCTAGGCTCACTGCTGACACCATGTGTTCCAGGTTTCCCCTATATCAAATGCACCTTCAGCACTGCAGAGCCCAAAGCAAGCATTCCTAGTCAGTGACTCTTAGCATTCCCCCACGGCTCCTCTGAGCTTCCTGGTTAGTTGCCTATCCCAGGTCACACACAGGGGAGGGTCACCTGTGAAGAAACATCACCTACGTGGACTAGATGTCCCACCCAAAACTCTTAGCTCAGCTTACCTTTGTTTTTGAATCCAGGCTCCTCACGTTTCCTATTAATAAGCTTCTTATGGAAAGTCAGAATATGTGTCCAAAGTCTATGACTTGGACTCAGTTCTTGGGAGGGGCCTTGATAGACAGGGGAATCTATATAGGGTGTGCTTGTTGAATAAGGAAATGATGAAGAATGACCTATGGGAAGAGACAGTGGTTGTATTATTGTCAGAGAAACAGCAGTAGGAGTCAGGGTAACAATGTTGGAGTCTTACCTGCTTATCCTTATACCCTTCTCCACAATCTCATAGTGAAAATGATGTTCTTACATCTGCTTCACTGGGGCCATGATGTTCACACACCTTTGCTGGTCTACTCTAGTTCTATATGTGAATCTCCATTCCTCTCTGAGTCTCAGCTCCCTCAGGTGGGTCTCTTGACTGTCTGTTCAACAGGGATAGGTAGCATCTTATGTGTAGTTCAAAATTGCCTCTACCTCAGTTTCTTCCTGCATTAATTTCCCATATTCAAGGTTTGTAAAAATATTTCCAGTACCAGTCAGCAATCTTATTTTGAAGCCTTATGATTTTTTTTGGTGTTTAAGCTAAAATTTCAAGGTGAACATAGTGTCCATCAGATAACAATTCTGAGAAAGTTCTTGAGGACTCAAGTACATATTTCAAACAACAGCTGTCAGTTATTAAGTAGCATCCTTGGAAGGAAGGTGAGAATATTTAAAACACTGTTTTTATACACAATGAAATTTCAGCATGGACGTTCTGGATGGAGTGGAATTGTTTCAATAGAACAACTTGGAGGCTGGGAATAGTGAGGAAAAGAAATGAGAGAAGGAAACTGTTGATAGCATAGGTGGAACCTTTTTGGGGAGAGAGGGAAAGAAACTGGCGGTAGCATGGGAGGAATCTCTGTAGTGAGAGAGACATGAACATGAGGAGGACTCAGTGGGATTCACTGGGGTTGCCATTCAGCTGTACAGCAATCTGTGGAGAAGTTAGCAAAGTAAGGTATATAGAAAGGTATACTCCCAGAGAATAGCTAGAGGGGATGGTTTAAGTTAAGAAAAGTTGGCTGGACACAAGCCATGTTAAGGTCATGCTTTCATAAGTCAGAATAAGACTCTGGATTTATTTGGGAACTTGGTGGCAGGCCCACCAAAGAGCCAAACAGAAAAAACAAATAAAAAACAAAAACATATAACAGAGATTCTGACAAATGTCATGGGAGGCTGAATCACACATTTCAAGTAATTACTGATGGTTAGTAAGTGGCATCCTTGGGAGGAAAGTGAGAGTCTTTAAAACATAGTTTTGAATCACAATGAAATGTAATCATGGAAGTTCAGGTTGGTGTGGAATTGTTTTGAATGAAACAGTGGGGAAGTTGTGTGAGACATATGTCATCCCTTTTATAATGTCCTTAGATAAATGGCTTTATTCCTGTCACACAGTAAGTAAAATCAGTGTGACCATCAAAGGCAATGGACTTTGATTCTATAGTCAAGATTTTAATAGATTAATGTGGGGTAAAAGAATTAACTTTGAAGTTGAAGACAAGGATTAAGCAGGACTTTCACATTTTAGTAGCAGGTTGAAAGAAGTGTCTCTGATTTCCCATGGACTGAGTGTTCTAGATCCCAGCCCTGCATCTGTCTATGTGTCATGAGCATGGACAAGTTAACCTATCTCTCTAGGCCTTGTACACTGGAGAGAGGTGAATTCTTTCTTGCCTAAGAAGAGGAAGAGGCAAGGGTGTGTGTTGGGTATAATATTTTTGTATATTGTGATGATGTGGTTTTGACAAGGTGTTTTCTGATTGGTTTAATAAAGAGCTGAATGACCAGTACCTTGGCTGGAAAAGGTTAAGTGGGACTTCAGGGCAGAGAGGAAGAAGACATGAATCTAGGTGCAGGAGAGATGCCAGAGGACACAGGAACCAAATAGTAGGTGCGTGATGGAAAAGAGGTAAAAAGCCATGAGGCAAAACATAGATTAATATAAATGTGTTAATTTAAGGTATAAGACCTAGTAGGTCAAGCCTAAGTTATAGGCTGAGATTTTATAATTAATAATAAGTCTCTGTGTCTTTTTTGTGATTTCAAGGGCAAAAAAAAATCTGTCTACAGGTGTGGCCTGGGTAAGTGAGATGAAATAAGGGAAGTCAGTAGAAGAAAATGACTCAAGCTGAGGCAGGGGCCTACCCTCTTCTCATGGTCCATCTCAGGTAAAGAAACCTTCTTGGATCTCCAGGACCTCCATGACCACCCTTGCATCTTCAGTGCCCACTCATATTTGGAGATGAACTCTGGGTGCCAGTTGGGCTGACATTCATGGTTTCCAGTTTCTCCTTGTGTCAAATGCAACCTCAGCATTGCATAGCCCAGAGGGAACATTTCGTGTCTGTGACTCTTAGCCTTCCACCATGGCTTCTCTGCTTTTATTTAAGTCCCTTATTCAGGTCCCTATCCAGGTGGGAACCTGTATGTTGTGAAGAACCACTACCTAAGTGAACTCTAAGTTCCTTTCACACCTCTAATTTTAGCAAATATTTATTTCTGCATACAGACTGCTCAAGTTCCTATTTAACAAGTTTTTTTCTTTCAATCTGTGAGTGACTTGATATTCAAGGTGTAAGCCCAGTAGTTCTGGTGAGATGCTCTGGCCAAGGAATTTTATGTTAAGTTCTCCACCCCCCAACGATAGCCTGAAATGAAGAATAATGGGCTGTGGGAAAAAACAGTTGGGTGGTTGTCAGAAAGACAGAAGTAGGAGTCAGGGGAGCAAGCCTGGGGTTCTCTCTGCTCACACTTACAGCCTTCTTCACAGTCACATGGAAAGAATGATACTCTCAGAGTCCCTGCTGAGAAACGGTCCTGCTCTGGGACCATGGATCTCACACATCTGTCCTGTCTTTGCACTAGTCCTCAGTGGGAGTCTCTAGTCTTCTCTGTGAGCCTCAGCTCCCTCATATGGGGCTTGGAGCTTCTGTCCCACTGTGTTGCAAACTTTAATGACAGCAGCAGAAATTACATGGGCTTGCATTTAGAACACCTGAAGTTTTGTTGAATATTATAATGTTTAATATTTTTGTGGATTATCACTTTACTCCTACAGCCCAAGAAAATGATTTTTTACCCTCCTTCTGTTTCCCATATGGAACAAGGAGGCTGGGCGCTCAAGTGACTTGTCCAATGTGGTTGAGCCATGACTGGAGTCTGCCTCTCCACAGCTCTAAGGCCTGGGCTTGTGCCTTAAGTGTCACCAAGCTCTTCTTTTGGGAGTTGGCTTGAACCAGGTGTTCACCCCTCTTAGAGCCATTCTGACTGCCAGCCACACCCCACTACTGTACCTTCAGAGTGCTCATTCCCAGAGCCTGAGGATGCACTCTTGTAAAAGAGGGTGGGGTGCTAAGATTCAATTAGGGGTTTCTGCATGCCTCCTGGGTCCAGACTCTCCAAGGCCTGTGAATCTTTTTGATAAGAGGATAACATGTCCATGGAAACCCTGGCAGGAGGGTTCAGAGGTGATGAAGGGGTCACAGTAGTGGTGGGCTGGGGCTTTGGTGTACTTACTTAGCTTCAAGTCCTTTTCTTCCTTGGCCTTGATCCTCTGCAGCATCAGGTCCAACGGCTTCTTCATGAAATGGGTGTGAGCCAAGACCTGCTGACACTCATACAGAGCTCCCTTAGTGTCACCCACCTTCTTGGACTGAGCTTCTTCCATGGTGACAGAGTCCCCAGATGATGCTTGGCTGTGTAGGCCACACTGGTCCTGCTTCACTTCTCCCTTCTGTTGTTGCTCCAAACAGGAGGCCAGTGAATTTTTGTCTGTGTCAGCCATTTCTGCTCTGGGCAATGGTGTTTGATCAGAATTGATGGAGGAGAGTTGGAAATAAAGAAAGGGCAGAGCAACGTCTATAGGGACAGATTGTCCTGTGTTCAGAACACCTAAAGGACTCAGGTCTCTCCTGGGGATGGAGGCTGTGTGTCCATGTGCAGGGTCTTGGACTTCACAGGGCAGAAGAGGGAATTCTGGGAGGAAGGTTTATCAGTGGATGTATTCTTTATAGTTTTGTGAATGATGTCAGCAGATGTTCTTTACTGTGCTGGCTTTCTCTCAGGCAGGTGTGCTTGTCATTATTCTGAGTGCTGTAGACAAGCACTCAGCTTGTCTAAAGTGTCTTCTTTTTGGTCATTAAGGTCATTTATCTGACCCTGAGCACCAATAATAAGGGGAGTGTATCCTCTCATTGTCTACTTCCTGCAGGAGGGGGATGATGGAGGTGGGTCTAGGCTCTGTCCCTAGGGTTTAATGGGGCATATGCTAGGTGACTTCATTATCCAGGAAAACAGTTCTAACTTGATTTGCTGTAGTGGATCATGTTACTGCTGTCATTCACTCCTGGAAAAACCTTTAAAAACACCTAATAGACAGGGTTTGTAATGAGTAAGATGAGACTGAAGACAGGGGACCCAGTCAGACCCTAATCAGGGTAGCCATTGTCCTCATAGTGATGACCATGATTTCATCCAGGAGCAACTTGTGTGAAATTTTTAAAGGACAGAGTAAAAATGGCATATAAGGTAAAGAGGAATGGAATGATAAAGCGGGGGAGACAGAGTGGAGGGAACAAAAGCCCGTCCTTAGGAAGATTCCTGTCACTGAATCATTGTCTGGGCCTTAGTTAAGTCTTTGGCCCTCTCAACCAGCTTGGGTTTGTTGGTGCAGTAGCAGCACTGTTCCTAGAGGAGAGCACAGTTCCCACCACTAGCAGCAGACAGGAGACCTATGTCTCTTTAACTTTGAGAACCACAGCAGCAAAGACTTGTCTCAGGCATAGCTGTGGAAAGTGATGGAGAAGAGGAGTGGGAAGGTGGACATCTGGGGAATGGAGGGTGGGGAAATGTAGGGATGGGAAAGCAAGGGATGGAAGAATACAGGACATGGAGCAGGACAGCTGGGAGGATTAGAGGATGCTAATCAAGGGGGAAGGGTTGGGGATGGTGGGAATGGTGTTGGGATTACAGGGATAGGAGCATAAGAGGATAGGAAGACAGGCATGGAGGATGCAGGGTGGAATTTTGCAGGACACTCCCTATTCCACGTTCCTCGTCTTCCTCCTTCTCTAATGTCCCACTCTGAGGATATCAGTCCTTCAGCCATCACTGTGACAGAGCGAGACAGTGGGGAGAGGCAGCACAGAGTGTGATTCAAGAGCCCAGTTTAAGTTCAGGCTAGGCCCTGTGAAGGAATCTTTAGAAGTCTCCTATCATTGGTTACCACACAGGGACCAATCCAGAGACAACTAAGTGAAGGACAAATTACTCAGAGAAACCAAAGAGCCAAAGGGACAAGTGTGTGGGGTTAAGTGTACCCAAGACTTTCCCAGAGGCCACAATGAGAGGCCAGATGGAGCATTAAAGTTCTGTGTCTTTTTGCAGGAATTGTCTTGATGAGCCCGTCTGACACTGGAGCTAGTGTCTCGGGAGGAATTTAAGCACTAGCTTCGGGGGTCCTGGCTCTTTCCCCTAGGCTGTGGTTATCAGTCCTAAGGCAGCTGTGTCTGAGGGATCCTGTGTTCTCTTTGCACATTGTCTGACTTGGGTCTCTGCTGTCCCCCACTGCCCTCAAATAGCATATATGATGCTGTACTTCCCAATAAACATGCTTGGCCTAAGTAATCAGCTCATGCAAGACTTACTGTTCTCAGCTGCTGCTTTTGTCTTCTTTATTTCTCATCCCCAGTCTTCCCATTTAACACCTCTCCATTCATGAACCTTATTCCTGCAGCTTCAGGTCAGACAGGAGAGAGAAGGGTGCAGGATAGGCTATGACAGGAGCAGGCACATGAAGCATGCAGGTGAATCAGCAACCTCCCACCCAACCAGAGCTGGCTGCAGACTCTCCAAGCAGGGGCTGGAGCCTGAGTCCTGGCTCTCAGGAGATGTTCCCCATGTCTGCCACTGTATGGCATCTTGTAGTCAGGCCAGCACTTATTTTTTCCACAACTCAAAAGGTTTGGTGGACTCTGTTGGTCCCACTACTCACCCTGCTCTTCCGAGGGGTTCACTGACGTTAGGGTCCCTGGCCAAAGCTCCTCAGCTAGAAATCATCTGTGAAAGTGAAAGACTTTGGCTCCTCCAGGAAGCCAGGAATCAAGAGTCTGCACAGATGCTCTTCTTCTGAGCTCTGGGAGTGGCAGTTAAACTATCCAGCTCATTTCCTGCTATGAAGTCTGCAGGTAACCCAGGCTGGAAGAGTCAGGCTTGAGAGCTTCCTCCATGCATGCAGAGGCCCTGCCTCCTGAGTCAGGACTCATGTTTGAGCCTCACTTCTCTTATCTACTAAAGTGGTGCCTCCCAGGTTTGCCAACAGGTCCAAGTTCAGCAGTAGCTCCTGGATCTCCCAGATTTGTGGATCTCTGCAGTCTCTCTCCTCCCTGTAGCCTGCCCAGCCCACAGGGTCTTCATTTCAGAAAGTGGCTCTCAGGTCCCAAACCCTGCATCTTTTCTCACTCCTGGACTCCCCTAAACCACAAAACTGGTTTGTGATTCCCACCAACATCATTTTTTTTTGTCAGTGTGTGGTGTGTGTGTGTGTGTGTGTGTGTGTGTGTGTGGAGTCACGTGTGTGCATATTTGTGGGCCTGGGAGCTTATGGATTTGGCTAGTCTAGCTAGTCATCAAGCTGGGGGTACTCTCTGTTTCTCACTCCTGAGCTCTGGGATTACAAGCCTTAGCCACACCCAGCAGGGATTTGTGAGGATGCTGTGGGTCACAGCATATGTCCTCATGCTTGCAGAGCCAGTGCTTTATCCACTGGCTTTTTAACAAGTCTGTAATCTTACACTTTTCACTCTACCCAAGGAGACTGCTGGTCCAGCCAGCATCCTGGGTCTCTCCTCTACTTTCCCAACTCTCCCTACTCATGCTTCATGGTCTCTTCTCAGTCTTGAAGCCAGAATCACATATCTAATATGTAAAAGAGTTTAAGTGACCTCTTAGCGGAAACCTTCTTATATTTCCACCTCACTCTGAGGGAAATACTACTGCCTGTCAGTCTGTCACACAGCTCTACCTGACCTACTCCATCTACCCTGCCCTTTTCTGGCATAGAAGCCACTTCACTTCCTCGCTCACTCTGCTGTGGGTTATCCGCTCTAGCATTCTATTCCTTGGACACCCCAGGAACTTGCTTTACACTAGCTTTGCCACTCTTTTGGAAAGACTTTCTTCTAGGTAGGTAGAAGCTTGCTAGCCCTTTTCTGAAATACTGTCCTTCCAGATTTACCTTCCTTTATTTTTCTGCTTGCCACCTGTTACCATCCAACACCTCAAACTTGATTTGTTTCTGTCACTTCCATCTACAAAGAGAATGGAAACTCTTGGAAGACAGGATGAAGAGTGATTGTTGATTGTTATACACCAAGGTGCTCACACTCACAGACTCTGAGAGGTGGTTATTTCTTTAATATTAACATTTATTTATTTGTGTTTGTGTGTGGTATGTGCATATGTATGGTGTGTGCATCTGCATGTGTGGTGTGTGCTTATGGTGTATATGTGTGTATATATGTCAGGTGTGTGTACTGTTTGTGTGTGGTATGTATATGGTATGTTCTTGTGATATATATATATATATATATATATATATATATATATATATA